GTTAGCCCTATTCATGTGGTGCCAAAGAAGGGAGGCATAACCGTGATCGAGAACGATAAAAAAAGGAGTTGGTCCCCACCCGCATCACTACCGGGTGGCGTATGTGTATCGATTACAGACGGCTGAACGCTGTGACCAAGAAGGACCACTTTCCATTGCCGTTTATTGACCAGATACTTGATTGTCTTTCGGGCCATCAGTTCTACTGCTTTTTGGATGGGCTCTCCGGCTACTACCAAGTGGCCATAGCACCCGAGGATCAGCCTAAGACGACATTCACGTGCCCCTTTGGTACTTTCGCGTTCAGATGGATGCCCTTTGGCCTATGCAATGCACCGGGTACGTTTCAAAGGTGCATGTTCTCCATTTTCTCGGATATGCTTGAGGACTGCTTGCAGGTATTTATGGATGACTTCTCTATTTTTGGTGATTCATTTTCTCATTGTCTCCGTAATTTATCTCGTGTCCTTGAACGTTGCATTGAGTCCAATTTGACTTTAAGCTGGGAAAAGAGTCATTTTATGGTGAGGAGTGGAGTTGTCTTAGGTCATGTTGTATCTAGCAAGGGAATTGAGGTAGATAAAGCTAAGGTAGATGTAATTGAAAAGCTTCCCCCTCCTGTGAATGTTAAGGGGATTAGGAGTTTCTTGGGTCATGCGGGGTTCTATAGGCGTTTCATTAAGGATTTTTCTAAAATTAGTCAGCCTCTATGTCATTTGCTTGCTCAAGACGTGCCATATGTTTTTGATGATGCTTGTTTGTGTGCTTTTAATGAATTAAAGAGCAAGCTTGTGAGTGCCCCTATTGTGATTGCCCCTGACTGGTCTATTCCTTTTGAAATCATGTGTGATGCGTCTAATCTTGCAGTGGGCGCCGTTTTGGGTCAGCGAGTTGATAAGTTGCTTCGTGTGATTTATTATGCTAGCTTGACTCTTAATGGGGCCCAGCAGAATTACACTACCACCGAGAAGGAACTTCTAGCCGTGGTCTTTTCTTTAGAAAAATTTCGATCATATATTTTGGGTTCTAAAGTTATTATTCACTCAGACCATGCGGCTTTGAAGTACCTTTTGAACAAAACTCATTCTAAACCACAGCTCATCCGGTGGATCTTGTTACTGCAAGAATTTGATGTTGATATAAAAGATAGGA